AAAAAAAAGATTTATGATTATTTGATATTAAGCACATTTAATTAAATAAAACATGTACAGAAAAAGAAAACAAAAATTTGAGAAGACACCGGCGCAGGATTGGGCAAATAAAAATGATGCGTAGGCTAAAGCCAATTGAATGAGAATAATAAAATAAATTAGTTTTGTCCAGCACCAAGTACTTCAGCACGTTCTTCGTCATTTAAACCAAGATGAAGTGTTCGACGTACTAAAAAAAAGAAATTATTATAATTTCATTTTATTTTATGAAGAAAAAAAAACTTACAAGATCGTCGTTGAGCACCATATCGAGCTGTTTTACGTTGTTTAAGAGCATCTCTTGATGCTGTCAATGTAGCATTTTTAACGAGATCATCAAGTAATTCATCACTTGTATCAAATGCGTCAGTTTCATTCGGATTATTTGATTGTTTTACGCTTAAATGGGATGGAGATTGTACTGTAGGCTTCTTCAAAGGATTAACTAAATAAATAGAATATAACTTTAAACATATTGTTCATACTCGAAGATATTTAAGGCAAAAAGAAACTTAATTGTGGAACAGATGATTCATATTCTTAACTGGTCATGAATGAAATACTACTAGTTAATGATACTTTTTGAGCATAATATGAAATTTCTTATGAAAACAGATCTCCTCATTTAAAGATAAAAACGCATGAAAATATCTGAGTCACAATTATAAACAAAAACTCAAAGAATCTATTTAAAAAAATGTAATTTATGTATTGCTTATAAATATTCTTTGATGTAATGTAATGATTTATGCTAAGAATGCTTCTTTTTCATATGAACACATGTACAATGTTTGTTTTAAAAATATCTTTAGATATTTTTCTAAACATACCCGCAGGTCTTTCTCTTAGTCTATGTCCAGGCATCATTATTTCTTGTTTTGATACATTATTCATCGCAGCTGCTAGACCACCTGGTTGTGAATTTTGTTGCATTTGTTGTTTTGATCCGACAGATGTCTTACGAGATGCATCACTATTAAATCGATTATTAGATGTATGAGCATTTTCATTAGCACGTTGATAAATAAATTCAGCTTCGTCATCTGTTCGAGTATCATTTGGTAAAGCATGTTTTAGTAAACCACTTTTTTCTGGAATAATCTATTTAAAATAAATGAAAACAAAAATTTATAATTAGAAAATTGAATTAAAAATCAACTAACTTCAGTTATTAATTTGCCACTTGTTTTACTTCGTTCAGCTCGCGTTTGTTTCTTTTCTTTTTGTGTTGTTATACGATCACGTGTTGTACGATATTCAAGTGCAAATTCACTGAGTATTTTACAAAATGATGTTATTTTTGTGTCTTGTATTATACCACGAGGATAACCAAGCCAAACGAGAAATTTTTGAAAACGATTTATAACACGACGATCAATAAGTCGCAGTAAACAAATACGTTCAGCACAATCA